GATGCCTTTTTATACCTCCACTCGAACTAAGGATTCAGTAGTTGGAGCGTTAAGTTTGCTTGAGAGAACCGAGATGCTGGGAGAGATCTAGCGAGTATGTCTGTAATTTGATCTTGATGTGGTGAGGGAGAAACTCTGCATGTTTGATGTCGTCCCAAATAAAGTAATAATCCACTTCAATATGTTTGGTTATTGAATGAAATATTGGATAATGTGTGAGGGCTATGGCAGATGTATTGTCACTGTATAGATCTGTGGGTGGAAGCGTGTCTGGAGAAGTTCTTGCAACAGTATTGGAGCAAGAGGATGTATGTGGTTAATGAGGCCAATGCACGATATTCTGCTTTTGTCGATGAATTGGGTACTGTGTGCTGTTTTTTGGCTGACCATGAGGTTGGATTAGTCCTGACAAAAATACAAAAACCGGTGATGATCCATCGTCGAGGTCGGTAGCCCAGCCTACGTTGATGTTGATGTAGGTATTGAGAGTTAAGTCCCCTGAGTTGATTGGTAAACCATGGTGTCGTGTGTCATTTAGGTATCTCAACAGTCTTTTGAGGAGTTGTGTGGTGCGTGAGTGGTTGGTGCATGTGTTGACGGAGGAAATTAATTGTGAAAGTGAAGAGAGGCGAGTGAAGATGAGGTATTAAGTGAGCCAAATATGCGGCGGAAGATTGTTGGGTTGTCTACTGTTGTGGAGTTGGTAGAGGGGCTAGTGAAGGGAAGAGGGGTGATGATGGGCTTGGAATTTGGCATGTCTGTTTGGCGGAGGATGTCAAGGAGGTACTGAGTTTGTTCAATGAAATATCCAATGTGTGTGTGATGGACTTGAAGTCCTAGGAAGTGTGAGATGGGGCCAAGTTGGTTGATACTGAATTGGTTTTTCTGGTAAGCTCCACTACTATGGTTTTCTGTTGAGCTTTCCTTATGGGAACCATTTGTGATGACCTTTGTATGCATTTAAGCTCTTATGTATATATAATGATCTTTATGCTAATAATTTATATGTTTTTTGGTTAGAATAAAACAAAAATTATTGTGCTAATTAGTCCATTATTCTCAAACCTAGCATAATCACAATAATCACTATATTATTGCTTGAAGTTGGACACATCATGTAACTCTTGGTGTAATTTGTTTAATTAGATTTAATAATGAAATTGAGTTGAACATTAAAATTGAGATTTGTGGTAAATCATTTACTCACAAAGTTTAGCTACATATTTCCATTGTAGTTGTCTTTTGTGTTACTTGTAAGATTTTATAAGATTACAAACACTTGTCTTCTAATATTAGTAAATACAAGCTTTTGTATTGTGGTTAATCACTTAAACAATACAATTGTATTGATATAAGTGGTGGTTATTTTGATGTGATAGGAAAGATTGGGGTGGTAAGAATGTAAAAAAGTAAAGTTTAAGTGTTTGATATGTAAATACATAGGAATTAAGAGGCATGTATGTAAATGCCCCTTTAATTATATGTCTACATTGTAGTTATTGTCAACTCTCTGAGATGTAGGATTATATAAGCCTAAAAGTGTGTCTTCTAATATTAGCGAGTCTAATCATCTAAACATTCGTTAATCACGTCGAGAATCAATTTTTATCAATATACACACATATATATGTATATTTTAATTCCAACACAAGTAGACTAGATCATGTAACTAGTTGACATAGGGTCTGTTTAGGGCGGTTGTAGTTCTTTAAAGAAGCAGTTGTGCAACTGTTGAAGAAAAAATTGTCGTTCAAAAAGCTGTAGTGGCTATCATAGATTTTTTTTTTTCTTTTGAAAAAATCAAACCGCGGCTTTTTAACATCCACCGCAGGTAGCTAGTTATGGTGAGAAAACACAACTATCAATTGTAGCTTTTTAAAAGCGCAAACAAAATACAATTTTATCAAACAAGAAAAATTACAATGCGACACCACATTGTCACCGCATCGCCGCCCCAAACACACCCATTTTCTTAGCTTCTGCAAACCATTAATAGCATCCATTGTGCATTGCTATTTCTATAATTTATGTATTTGATTGTGCAAATTTGACTTGGGTTGAATTTCATAATAAAATTCGAAGATATGAAAAGTACACCCAGTGCACCGTTTTCTTGGTCCGTCTTCGCAAAATCTTTCCAATAAGCATGCATAAATGAAATAACTATACAACCCTTTTATGCCATAAAATTATTTGCAAAAATGCCCAAAAATGATTCTATTTAAATCCAACGTAAGTCCTACATAAAACGAAAAATCAATTTAAAATAATTATGCAATTTTAGATCAACTTCAACCAATATTCGAAAAACATGGCTTAGATCAAATGGTGTCTATTGGTTAGCTTTTCATTTGTCCTCAGAAAGAAACAAAGAAGAAAAAAACTATAATTTGTCCTCTTGTTCACCTTTTAATTAAGAGGCGTTTACATAAATAACACACAATTCTTATATACTACATACCTCACCTAAACATCTGTATTAACATGCATACCACTCAAATCTTTAAAATCACATTAAATATCACCAGTATTATCTTTTTAAAAATGAAAAACACCTTTTTTATGCATATATTTATGACACCAAGGTGATCTTTGGGTGTTAGTTATGTAAATACTTGAGAATTGTGTTGTATGTGTATAAATTTCCCTTTAATTAGCTACTAAAGAAAGAAAGAAAGAAAAAAAAATACAATAATTTATCCTCCTAAGAACTTCATTTCCGCCTAGTAATGTGTTGATGTTGTCTAAAACATATTCTTTTATCCGAAAAAAAAAATTTACAAGATCAAATGATGTCCTCAAAAGGCCACATGCATAAAATTCCTAATTATTGCATTCTTACACAATGGCATTGTTTCTAAACTCATAGAAAAACACCATAAAAGATATCCTAAACTCAAAATTATAGATATATTAAGCAAAGAAAGCAAGCACAAGAACTAAAATGCGGAAACAATCACATACATGCCATATCTAACGCCTAAACTCTACCTTTTACATTTATACCATATGTTGAAATATCTAATTTAAATTACAGGATTTATTGTCTTTCCTGTTAAGATTTATAATAAGAAATAATTTATTCCTAATTATGAGGAATAAATTTTTTTCTTAATATAAGGAGATATTTCTTGTCATATATTAGAATTGTTTGTTTTCCTAATTTATATTATTTTCTATTATCTCCTAATAATTAATATGAATTAATTATTAGAGATATCATGTGATATATCTTTCCTTTCATATCATTATTTTTTTTATTATTTTTTTATTATAGGATTCTTGTAAGGGTTATTTATACCCCTGTTCATATCAATGAAAGTATTCCAAAGTATTCCACTTTATTCCGCATTATTCTAACATTTAACATGGCATCAGAGCCATAATTTTGCCCTAACCAGCGATCATCTTTGAAGGACCGCCAAAACTCCCTTCTCTTCGGTCTTCTTGCGGGAATTGAGGAACTATTTCTCCACCTTCGATTTGTCTTCCACGGCATTGTCCCGGACTGCGTCGTCCTCCTAAGTCCTCTCCCTCTCGTGCCTGGGCTCGCCGACTGGTACAATCTTCTCAAACCTGTCTCCTGACACTTCCACTCGTTGTCTCCCTTGTCAACAACATTTTTGTCCGCATCGACTGTTTCATCTCCTTCGACCCCTCAAACTGACCCTTCCCTTTCACGGATGGTTCTTCCGCTGGTAGATAGAGTGGGCACCCGGTTGAATCACCAACAATTGGCGGACCATCAAAATCCCCGGCCTTCCAGAACTGTCTTGAACCAAGAGTTTGCGTCGTCGACTTCGAAAGAGGAAGCATCGAAAGCTGATTTAATTTCTCCCCCGACACCGGAAGTGGGTCGAGAAAACCCGGAGGAAGATTAGCCATCATCATGCCATCAAATTTGCGTTTCTTGGCAGCCCCTGAGGAACCATCCGAAGCACTAGACCTCCCTATCTCAGCTTCAGAATCACTTTCTTTGTTGTTGATGTCTATCACGGAGACATCGCCGTAAAAAGAAGGTGGTGCTTTAAGCAGAAGGGCCCGCCCCAGTTGCTCCTGCAGCTCCAGCGGCTCCGCCTCCACTTTTACGGTCACCTTCTCCATGAAGAAATGAGTCGGAGAAAACAACAGGCTTCTCCCTTAATGATGCCTCTTCTTCATCTCTCCTGGACCTTTCTTCCGAGAAAATGTCGACTAAAGCTTCTTGTTCCTTCTCAAGGGCACCTATCTTGGGCATTATTGATGCTTCCTTTGTCTGTGATCTGATAGTGATGCCATCAATGCCTCCGCTACTATGCTTCAAAGAACCTGGAGATGTATTCAACAATTCTGGACAACTGTTCTCTTTATCAGATAATTTTCTTGCAGGGGAAACATTTGGAATAGATGAAATATTTCCACTCGCAGAACTGCTCTCATTATGTTCGTAAGACAATTCGTGGGGTCTTATATGATGAGAAGATCCTTACTTTTCCCAAACTTCTCACTGCTAATTCCATTCTCCTTTAAAGGTGTTGTGATTCCTGCCTTATGTAATTCAGTAATTGAGATGTTTTTCCCCTTTTTGCTTACATTTGAAAAAAACTTGTCCGATCTCTTCTCCTTCACCAACCCCATCTCTTCTCCTTCTGAAGCTCCGGAGATTGCAACTCCGTCCTCTTCTCGCAAGCAAAATCTCTATCGTCTTCGTCAGCTTCTTCATCAGCTTCTTTTGTAGCCCCAGCCGATGGTCCGGGTGCATCAGGGCTTCAACCTCCGGCCGGATCTACCTCGGCGCCAACATTGAGTTCCCAGGCGTCGCTCCCACCACTCCAATGCCGAGCAATTTCCTTTCCAGGCTCCGATAACTTGAACGAAGCCTTTACCTTCGAGAGTTGTATTCCACTTATTCCTCATCACCAACGCCGACTGACACTTTGAAACCTCGATCCCCATCATCGTCATCTCCGAGTTCCCTTGCGGTCACTGTCGCTAGTTCTTCCAGGGATCCGATCGGCCTCTCAGATCCAGATACTGGAAACAGGCTTCTTTAGCATATTATTCCCTACCTTAATCAACCCCTCCAGGTTCTCCTTTGTTGATACATCCACAGAAGCTAAATCTCCACTCAATGTATCATCCTTAAGTCGAAGATAATTTTTCTCAGAATGCTGAGTTTGGAAAAGTATGGATGTTAATATATCAGTCATGTCTGCACTACCTCGGGAGTAAATATCTATGATAGGCGCATGGCCATTATAAAATAGCCATGGAAGAATACCCCACTTAGCTGCATTCTTTGCATCATACTTCACGTCAAATTTAGCTGCTCTAGTGTCGAGAGATAGAACAAGAAACTTGTTATATTCTACGGGTTTTACAGGAAAATCTTCTTGTAACTGCTTGAATATGTTCTTGCTCACCAAATTTATTGTCAGCCGACATCAGCGATGCCGCCACCCTCATCATCATCTCATTGGAGATATCACTATCGTGGATCGGACAAACCGTACATTTCTCCTGCAGTAGTTTTGTTCCCTGCCCAAACGTCAGGGGGAGCTGTGTTTCCAACCGGGCCTTCTCCAAGCAGCCATCAAAACCGGAGGCCTCTCTACATTTTTCTCTGCATCCGACAATTCTTGTATCTTTTGTTGCACCTCGTTTTTCCCTATGCAGACGCCATCAGTCGTCGGAGTCAATTTCTGCAGTCTTTGTTGTGCATCGATTTTTTTCTTGCTTAGGTGTTTGGTTCACTACACCATTGTGATTTCAGCGGTTTTCCCTGCGCAGACATTTGGGCAACTGCAGACTTGCATTTTCAGCAAACAACGAAATTATTTTCTCATGCTAGTATAAATTTTGGTTCGCCAATGGGATTTATTTTTTCTCTCCAGTGCAAATCACGGAATCTCCAGTTGAAATCCGAGTTTTCACTCTCTGGTGGAAATCGTTGTCCCCCGTAAAACCGCATAGAACAATGGCTTCCTTGCGGGCTCTCTCATGGTCGTTTTCCCTGCAGCTTTTTCAGTTGCAGATCCTTCCTGCGGAATCTTCCAACCGTCGGACCTCCCGATTTCCTTTCAGGACCTTCGAAGCACCTACCTACAGCGGGACCTATCCCTTGATGGCTTTCCTACCACTGAAATTTTCTCCTGTAGTCCTTCCTGCCGGTGAAATTCCCTCCTGCAGTCTTTCCTGCCGCCAGAACTATCTGCCACTGGAACTTTCTCCTGTAGTCCTTCCTGTCGGTGAAATTTCCTCCTACGGCCTTTCCTTCCGCCAGAACTTCCTGCGGACATATTTGCTGCCGACTGAACTTTCGGGCTTACTCCTGCAATCGGTTCTCTCCCCTGTAGCCTTTTTCGCTGTCAAACCTCCCTCATGCAGCTTTTCTCGCAGCCGAATCTACCTCAACAAATTTTTCCCTGCAGATTTTGGTCAGCTCTTCCCAAGGAAAGCACTGCTCTTTCCTGCAACATTATTGCAGCCTTCTCCGAGCAGTAGAGCTTTTCTGAGCACTGTCGTTGGCCCTCTGCAGCTTTCCTGCAACCATCATGCAGCCTCCTTGCAGCCTCCTTGCAACCTCCATGCAATCTTCTTGCAGTTTTCATGTAATTATCAATCAAACGGTGATTTACAAGTTCATCAATGTCTCGAAATTAAGCTTAGCCCTCATCCAGGCCACTCTCAGGCTTCGGCCATGTTCCAGCTTCGACACTCTCAGGCTTCAGCATTCTCGGCTTCGGGACCTTCGGCTTCGGCACTTACAGTTTGAGGATAGTTGGAATTTCTTATTGACAAATTGATGCTATCTGTCTAGTCAGCATACAACAGCCGATGTTTTCAAATTCAAGTTGAATATGATTTTTAACCATGTTCAACTTGAGGGGGAGTGTTGAAATATTTAATTTAAATTACAGGATTTATTGTCTTTCCTGTTAAGAGTTATAATGGAAAACAATTTATTCATAGTTATGAGAAATAAATTTTTTTCTTAATATAAGGAGATATTTTCTTCTCATATATTAGGAATTATTTGTTTTTCTAATTTATATTATTTTTTATTATCTCCTAATAATTAATATAAATTAATTATTAGATATATTTTTTCTTTCATATCATTTCCTTTTTATTATTTTTCCTATTATAGGATTTTTGTAAGGGTTATTTATACCCCCGTTCATATCAATGAAAATATTCCAAAGCATTTCACTTTATTCTGCATTATTCTAACATTTAACACCATTCAAATCTTTCATATCACATAAAAAATACCACTATTTTATCTTTTAAAAAGTGAGATCCAGCTTTTCATGCATATGAAAGCTCCCAGATATGTAAAAAATTTGAACTTGAAGTATGAGATATGTAAATACATGAGAATTGAGTGGTATTTATGCAAATACTTCAATGAAATATCAAAAAGCAATCTTCACAGGATCAAATGAATCACACACCTTCAATTCCCAAGCTCT